TCAAGTCAGGGTTTCTCTGTATAGTTTTGGTGGCTGTCCTGGATCTCGCTCTGTAGACCAGGCTGGCCTTGAACTCACAGAGATCCGCCTGGCTCTACCTCCTGAGTGCTAGGATTAAAGGCGTTCGCCACCACCGCCCGGCCCCCTGTGCTTTCTTACCCATTATTATATTCCTCACTCTTTTGTTTGTTTGAGACAGGGTCTCACATAGCTCAGGCTGTCCTCATATTTACTGTGCAGCTAAGGATAACCTAGAGCTACTTACTGATTGTCTGATTCTCTACCTCCCAAGTGCTAGGGATACAGATGTGTGCCACTAGGCCACATACATTCTTCAGTGTGTGTGTGTGTGTGTGTGTGTGTGTGTGTGTGTGTGTCTGTGTCTGTGTCTGTGTCTGTGTGTCTGTGTACGTATGCACACATACCCATGTGTGGAAGTCAGATAACAACTCTGGGTTGGTCCTTACTTTCCCCCTCATTAGAGATATGGTAATTTCCATCGCGTATGCCAGGCTTGCTGGCTGCTCAGCTGCTGAGGATCCTGTCTCCACTCTCCATCTCCCTGGAGGGTCATTGAGATGACAAGCCCTTACACTATGTGTCTGATTTTACACTGGTCCTGGGAATTCGGACTCAGGTCTTCATACTGTGCCCTGTCCCTAGCCCACGTTTCTCACTTAAGATGCCTTCCTTAAACCCAACTTTCTCTCCAAATGCCTTCCATTCCCCCCTCAGCTCCCATTCTCCATTGCTCTGTCTCCCTTCCTGGCCCTGTGCAGTCAGACCTTCCTCACTCCATGTCCACTTCAGTTTTCCCTGATGCCTCTGCAGGGATGCACCTGTCCAGGAGGGGACCCTGCACCAGGTGACGGGACAGCTTGTCCCAGTGCCATGCTCTAGGTTAAGGGCGGGCACTTCAAGATCATTTTCTCTGATTGTGATTGTATACCTACCTCAACCCCCTCGTGAAAACAGAAACTCAACATTTCTCCCAAGCCAGTGGCCTTGCTCCTTGAGCAGAATGGTGCATCTGTCAGCGGGGGTGGGGGTGGGGTGGGAATAGGGGGATGGGGAGGTGGAGGGGGTGTCAGAGTATGTAGAGAGGCTAGAACACTGAGCTAGGGTATCAGGAGACATGGCTTCCTGTCCAGCCCTTCTCACGTTTGTGGCCCTGACTTTGGGAACGCCATTCCCTCTTATTTGGCCTTATGTATCTTAGAGATGCTTATGGTCATGCAAGACAAAATACATGGGATCAGGGCCGGACAGATGGCTCAGCAGTTAAGAGCACTTGTTGCTCTTGCAGAAGACCCAAGTTCTTTTTTTTTTTTTTTTTTTTTTTTGGTTTTTCGAGACAGTGTTTCTCTGTGTAGCTTTGCGCCTTTCCTGGAACTCACTTGGTAGTCCAGGCTGGCCTCGAACTCACAGAGATCCGCCTGCCTCTGCCTCCCGAGTGCTGGGATTAAAGGCGTGCGCCGCCGCCGCCGCCGCCGCCGCCGCCGCCGCCGCCGCCGCCACCACCACCACCACCACCACCACCACCCGGCCAGCAGAAGACCAAAGTTCAATTCCCAGCACCCACATGGTGGTTTAACTCCAGTTCCAGGGGATCCAATGCCCTCTTCTGACCTCCTTGGGCACTGCATGCACATGACGCACATACATATATACAGGCAAAACACTCGAACACACAAAATCAATACATCTAAAAATGTTTAAATACATGAAATCACCTCTTTTCTGAGCACACCCTTTAGTGTACCTGCACTAATGTATTTGTTGTTATAGTCAAATCTATTATCTAGTCCAGCTATACATGAAGAAAAGCATGCAGTCTGCTGCCAGTCCATGCCAAAGTATAAGTGGCAGAAGGCAATGGAAAGCCAAACTGGTTTTACTCATCAGTAGATTATGACCTTCCTCTACAGCAGTGTTTCTCAACATGTGGGTCGTGACCCCTTTGGGGTCAAACAACCCTTTCACAGAGGTCACCTAAGACCATAGGAAAACACAGAGATTTACAATACAGTTCATAACAGTAGCAACATTGCAGTTATGAAGCAGCAATGAAAATAATTTTATGGTTGTGTCACCACAGCATAAGGGACTGTGTTAAAGGGTCACAGTGTTAGGAAGGTTGAGATGTGTTAAAGGGTCACAGCATTAGGAAGGTTGAGAACCGCGGGACTAGATGATCTAACGCTACTCTGTGGTTACTCAGTCTCGGCAACACTGGCATTTTGTTTTTGTTTTGAGATAGGGTGTCATTGTGCTGTCCAGGCTGGTTCATGGGCTTAAGTGATCCTCCTGCCTCAGCATATGCAGCAGCTGGGCTGCAGGTGTGTGCCACTGTACTCAGCTTTTCACACTAACTTTGAGAGCATGAATTTATTTCTATTCTGGTGGTGGTGGTGGTGCTTTATTTGTTTGTTTGTTTGTTTGTTTGCTTGTTTGTTGGGGTTTTGAGACAGGCTCCTTACTGTTTGGCCCTGGCAGCCTAGAACTCCCTTTGTAGACCAGTCTGACTTTGAACTCACAGAGATCTCTGTCTGCTGAGTGTTAGGATTAGTGTTCCATCATACCTGGCAATGCTTGCTTTCTTTTCTTTCTTTCTTTCTTTCTTTCTTTCTTTCTTTCTTTCTTTCTTTCTTTCTTTCTTTCTTTCTTTCTTTCTTTCTTTCTTCCTTTTTAAGATAGGTCATGTCATCCAGGTTAGTGTCAAAGTCACCGAGTATCAAGATGATCTTGAACTGATCCTCCTGCCTCCACCTCTTGCATAGTGAGATTATAGGCATGCAACACGTACGCCGCATCTGGTCTGTGTGGCCCTGGAGACTCAGCCCGGGGCTTGATGCCTGCTAGGCAAGCACTGTGCCAGCTGAGTCACATCCCCAGTCCCCCACTGTCCTGTCAACTGTAGACTATTTAGCTGTTTTCCTGGCTTCTACCACTGGGTGCCAGTCACGAGGACCAAAAGTGCCTCCAGACACTCCAGCCCAGGTGCCTCCTGGGGAACAGAACAGCTCCTGGTGGAGAGCCACAGATAATACAGCCTTTAAAATGGGCAGTCTTTTCTCTAGAGGGCTAACTCCTCAAGTGCAGAACTCCATTTCTGTAACTGTCTAGATATCCCCGGCAAACCCAGACAGTTAATGTTTGCTAGATTTCTCTGTGTGAAAATGATCTAAAGGTGCTAACTGCAGCAGGATGGCTCTGTGGGTAAAGGCACCTGCTACCAAGTGCTTGCCATGTGTGCACTCCCTACATTCAATCCCAGTGACTCACATTGTAGGAGAGAACTGACTCCTGAAAGTTGTCCTCTGACCTCCATATATATGCCCCACATACATACACAATATATACATGTAAGTAAATAAATATCAAAACTAAGGTAGTAACTGTCCCTACCACCCACTGATCTCATAACAACAAAAACTATTTTGTTTTGTCTTTTCAATGTGTATGGGTGTTTTGCTGCATGTATGTGTGTGCACCATGTGTGTGCAGTACCAGCAGAGGCAGAAGACGGATTGGATTCCCTGAGACTAGAGTTACAAATCATTGTGGGCAATGATGTGGGTGCCGGGAACTTAACCCAGGTCCCCTGGAAGAACAACAAGTGTCCTTAACCACTGAGCCATTTCTCCAGCCCCCAAAACACTGTTCTTATGAAGAATACTAGTTCATTCTCAACTAGAAGTCTTTAACCCCAGCACTCAGGAAGCAGAGGCAAGCGGATCTCTGTGAGTTCAAGGCCAGCCTAGTCTACAGGGTGAGTTCCAGGATAGCCAGTGCTACACAGAGAAACCTTGTCTCGAAAAACAAAAACAAAAACAAAAAAAAAGAAGAAAAAGAAGTAGGTAAGTATGAAGTTTGACTCTCTCCAAACAGCAATTAAAAACACAAGAACTGGCTGGGCGGTGGTGGTGCACGCCTTTAATCCCAGCACTCAGGAAGAAGAGGCAGGAGGATCTCTGTGAGTTCGAGACCAGCCTGGTCTACAGAGTGAGTTCTAGGACAGCCAGGACTGTTACACAGAGAAACCCTGTCTCGAAAAACAAAAAACAACAACACAAAAACACAAAACCACAGACCTGATTGGTCACTGGACATGTGAGTCTCAGTTCTTGCCGGATCACCTTGCTGGTTCTGGTGGTTTTGTCCTCTGGGGATATTTCTCAATATCTTTGTTCTCTGAGGCAGGGGAGGAGAGCCTGCTGACATCTAGTGGGTAGAAGCCAGGGATGCTAAGCATCCTGAAATACACATGACAGTCAGTGTCACAGTAAAGAATGTTTTGATCCAGTGTATTAAAAGTCGGCCGTGCTGATGAGAAAGCGCAGAAGGGAAGGAGGGCTGCACCCTGTGCCTTCACTTGCACCAGGGGATTCTCCCTGGAGAACCTAACTGAGTCTCTGTTCTCTCTCCCAGCTGCTCATGGCACAAGTTCCTACGGTGCATGCTTACGGTCTTTCCCTTCCTCGAGTGGATGTGTTTGTATCGATTCAAGGACTGGCTTCTTGGAGACTTACTTGCTGGTTTAAGTGTTGGTCTTGTTCAAGTTCCCCAAGGTAAGGGCACTCTAAAGCCTTCTTACCAAAGCCGACCTACTGGACATGAAGCACTTTCAGGAGCAGACAGTTGAGCTGGATGGGCAGAGGGGAAGAGGACCGGCATTCCTGATGTCGCCATTTCTTCCTTTACCCCTCCAGCCGCTCCTAGAAGATCGGCTTGAATCGAGGCCCACGAACACTTCCCCAGAATTTGCAATCCCCACTCCTGGTCATTCTTTGCCCCAGTGATGGTTTCACACTCGCCATGACAGATCTCAGGAGGTGTCGGGTTTCCTTAGGAGAAGATGAGTGCTGGGCACCTGTGTCTCTCCAGCAGGTGGCATACCACAGCTGTTATCCAGTCACCAGTTCTCAGGAGGTGTCGGGTTTCCTTAGGAGAAGATGAGTGCTGGGGAACCTGTGTCTCTCCAGCAGGTGGCATACCAAGCTGTTATCCAGTCACCAGTTCAGATGCAAGACCACAAGGTCACACAGGAGTGGGCGCTCCCTGCGTGGTAGAAAGCTCCTTTCCATCCAAGAACAGTGGGGTACTTCTGCAACCCCAGCATAGAGAGGAGGGGGCGGGAAGACCAGGCATTCAAGGCCCGTCTCCTCTACTTGAGAATTTACCTGAAAAACAAACAAAATCTTGATTCCAAATAGGAACCAATAACTCTTTTGTCTGTTTATTTTTGAGACAATTTCATAATATAGGCTGGCCTCGAACTCACAGAGATCTACCTGCTTCTGCCTCCCAAGTGCTGGGATTAAAGGTCTGTACTACCAGGTACAACTATTTTTTTCCCTTCTTCTTTTTTTTTTTTTTTTTTAAGATTTATTTATTTATTATGTATACAGCATGTACAACTACAAGACATAAGAGGGCATCAGATCTCATTACAGATGGTGGTGAGCCACCATGTGGTTGCTGGGAATTGAACTCAGGACCTCTGGAAGGGCAGCCAGTGCTCTTAACCTCTGAGCCATCTCTCCAGCCCCTTTTTTTCCTTCGTAACATTTATTTATCGTGTGTGTGGAGGTCGGAGGATGGCTGAAGGGAGTCTGTTCTCACCGTCCACCATGACATGGGTCCTGGAAATCAAATTCAGGGCTTCAGGCTTGACTATGCCCTGAGCCATCTCGCTCCACCCACTCCCGTTTTTCACACACACACACACACACACATACAAACACCGAGAGAGAGAGAGAGAGAGAGAGAGAGAGAGAGAGAGAGAGAGAGAGAGAGAATGTTGAATTATTTATTAAGGGTTCCATAACTGTTTTGTGCTAGCTATATCTTTAAAGAAATTTCAGTTCTCTCTTTTAAGGTTTTTCATTGTGTGTAGTGATCATATGTGGTACTGTGTTACACATTGATGTAAGTGTATGCTGTCCATTGAACGTGACCCCACAGCTCCTCCCCCCCTCCCTTTTTGCCCCTTAGTCCCCTTGTTCTCCTAGACAATTGTACTTGTACTTACATGTTATAAGCATACACATGATTTTATGTGCCTCTATAAGCTCAGAAAGCAGACAGTGTAGACATCCCATGTCTGTGTTTCTGTTGATGCCCTCCATCATTTTCCTGCAGATGACATAACTTCACTCTCGACAGCTGAGAAGACTCCCCTGCAGCTAGGCTGCACATTCTTTGTCTATTTCTCTGTGGCTGGATGCTGGCCTTCTGGAGCCAGCAACCATATTAACAGTCCCTGAAGGGTTGCTTCTAGGACCCCCCACAAGTAACAACCCAAGTTTGGGAGTCCCTGTGTTCAGAGAAACCCCAAACCAGCGCATCCCCTGGCTCTCTGCAGGTGGAGTGTGCTCACAGGGATCATTTTCTACCATGCCAGAGCTTCCTGGTAGCACTGATGTACTACTGTTATCCCGTCTCCAGGGAAACAAGCTAGAGAGTCAGCCAGAGACCCAGTGTGTCCACTGCGAAGAGGCTGGGCGTCATGCCTCCTTGGTTCAGACTAGTCCATGGTTCCCACGTGGTCATGCCGGCGGGTGAACGTAGGGCCTTGCACACACTAGGGAAGTCCTCAGTGGCTATGCCCCCCCTAGACCTAGATGTTCTACTGAACATCTCCCTGGCAAACAGTTTGCCAGTATCTAGTAAATGTGCCCCAGAGTTCTCATGAGAAGTATGTAAAATCTTGAAGAATTTGTGTGTTTGTGAACCAGGAGATATATACAGGAATGTCCATCTGTATATATCTTAGTCCCATCTGGGCCCAGAGTGGGATACCATGAAATCCTGAAGAAAACAAGAGCGAGGGAAGTGGCCACCCCAGACCCCGATGCCTTTTCAGTTTCAGTCAGCTGTCCTTCATGCCCTCAGAAGAGATTTCCTATGTAGCATAAGCTGATTTAAACATAGTTTCTACTTTTTGCAATCTATAGACTCTTGATTAAGAAAAAAAATTGGAGGCTGGGCAGTGGTGGCACACACCATCAATACCAGCACTCAAGAAGCAGAGATAGGTGGATCTCTGAGTTCGAGGCCAGCCTGGTGTACAGAGCAAGTTCCAGGACACCCAGGGCTACACAGAGAAAACCTGTCTCAAAATCCACCCCCACCCCCAAAAAGGAAAAAAATTGATGACAGGCTTTTTCTTTTGGGCCACAAACCAGCTCCCAAATCATGACAAAAAGACATTCTTAGTTTTGAATGCTCAGCCTTAGCTTAGCTCTTATTTACTTCTCTTCACCTATGTTTTTTCTTTCTTTCTCTTTCTTTCTTTCTTTCTTCCTTTCTTCCTTTCTTTCTTTTTAAAAGATTTATTTATTATGTATACAGTCTTCTGCCTACATGTTTGCCTGCAGGCCAGAAGACAGCACCAGACCTCATTACAGATGGTTGTGAGCCACCATGTGGTTGCTGGGAATTGAACTCAGGACCTTTGGAAGAATAGCCAGTGCTCTTAACTGCTGAGCCATCTCTCCAGCCCTCTTTCTTCCTTCCTTCCTTCCTTCCTTCCTTCCTTCCTTCCTTCCTTCCTTCCTTCCTTCCTTCCTTCCTTCCTTTCTTTCTTTCTTTCTTCATGTCCTACTTTCACTCCTTCTCATGGCTGGCTGGCAGCTGCCCAGCTTCTGGCCCGAGTGTGTCCCTCTCTTTCTCTCTCACTCTCTCCTTCCATCTTCTTTCTTGAGCCTAGATTTCTCCTCCTACTTATTCACCAGCCCTGCCTATCCCTCTCCTGCCTTCCTATTGGCCACTTAGCTTTTTATTAGCTCAATCAGGTGCCTTAGGCAGGCAAGGTGAAACAAATGTAACACATCTTTACATAATTAAACAAATGCAACACAAATGTAACACATCTTTTCATCGATTAACAAAGGCAGCACAAATGTAACACATCTTTACATCCTTAACAAAGGCAGCAGAAATAAATGTAACACACCTTCACATAGTTAAAGTAACTCTGTAGCATTAACAAATGTAACCCATCTTTGCCTTGTTAAAATAATGTTCCACAAAAGACAGGGACCGAGGACATAGCTCACTCACTGGGAGAGTGCTTGCTGCCTGAGGTTGAAAGCTTGATGATCCGAGTTGAAACCTCAGAACCCATTGAAACACGGGAGGAGAGAACCAGCTCCGTGAAGTTGTCCTCTGACCTACACACACACACACACACACACACACACACACACACACACACACACACACACACACCATAATAATAAATAAGCATTTTGGTGGTTTGTTGTTGTTTTAGACAAGGTCTCTCTACATAGAGACTAGGAACTCACTACATAGACCAGGTTGGCCTTGAACTCACCGAGCTCCATCTGCCTGGGCCTCCCCAGTGCTGCACCACCACACTCAGCCGTAAATAAGTATCTTTAAAGCCTTGTTTAGGAATACTAAGAAAAGACGTCGGGATGGTTAGCCTAGAGAAGACAGGCAACCAGGAGGCAAGTGAGTTTTGTGACTTCCTGTTGTTCTCCAGCTGTCTTTGGCCCTGGGGATCCCAGGGCTGCCTTTTTTCTTTCTGAATACTTTCACTTATGTGTATGTGTGCATGTCTGTGTGTGAGTATGTACATGTCAGGACAGGTGCCCTCAGTGGCCAGAGGCATGCAGTCCGCTGGAATTGGAGTTATAGGAGGCTGGCTGCTGCCAAACCTTGGTGCTGGAAACCAAACTCAGGTCCCTGGAAGAGCAGCAGGCTCTCTGCACTGCTGGCCCGTCTGTCCAGCCCCCCAGGCCTTCTGGAGCTGGGAGGGAATGAGCACTGGACCGAGATGCTGGAGCTCGAGTGTCCACGCTGCAACGTCTCCTTTCCACGTCGGCGTTACCACCGCTCAGTGAGTCCGTGACAGAGCTGAGATGCAGGGCTTGTAGCTCAGGCGGCAAAGTGCCTGCCAGCGTTCACGAACCCCGGGTTCAGTCTCTAGCTCTCACAGACCGGCACGTGGCTTACACCTGTAATCTCAGCACTCGGGGGTGGAGACAAGAGGAACAGGGGTTCACAGTCACTCTCAGATACATAGTGAGTTCAAAGCCAGCCTGGGCAATGTGAGACTCTGTCTCAAAAAAACAAAAACAAAAGCTAAATAGAAAAGCACGTTGGAAACTAGGACACTATAAAGAGCTCTATACATATGGTCTCAGCATTCATAGCCATTTTTATTTAAGGTAACTTTTTTTTTTTTAATTTTTTGAGACAGGGTTTCTTTGAATAGCAGCTCTGGCTGTCCTAGGGCTCGCTCTGTAGACCAGACTGGCCCCGAACTCACAGAGATCCTCCTGCCTCTGCCTCCTAAGTGCTGGGGTTAAAGGTGAGCACCAGTGATGCCAGTTTAAGGTAACTTTTAAAGCCAAACTACCGTCTTTGCTTAAGGAAGTCCTTTTGCTTTTCAGGCCTGACACTTAGTTTGCTGACGAGGCAGCTGATCCCTCCCCTCAACGTGACTTACGCTGCCTTCTGCTCTTCAGTCATTTATGTAATATTAGGATCATGTCATCAAATGTCCATCGGTGAGTTCAGTACTGGAGCCACCCAGCTAGATGATAGGTCAGTTATTTACTTGTTGCTTAGCAGCCAGTGCCAGTCAGCTTTCAGTCCCCGTGAGGAAATGCTTGGGAACACTACTAGCTTAAACAGGGAAGGTTTCCATTGGCTCGCGGTTGACAGATCTCAGTCTGTGTCACATGGATCTGTTGTTTCTGGGCCCGTCTGGAAGCTTAGCATCGCGGTCTGAAGTGTGTGGTGGGGCAAAGCAGCTCACCTGTGGCAGCCAGAGCACATGTGCACTCAGACACAAAGACTTGTATAGGCACATGCGCACAGAGAAGCACATAAGCAGACATAGACATGAACACACAGGCACCTCCATGTATGCATGCACACATGCACACACATGAGCACATATACACACACACAGGTATGCCCACAAGAAAAATATGCATATATAGACACATGCACATATACATATATACACATAGACACGAGTACATACACACAGACACATTTACACACAAACACAGATACACACATTCATGCATGCACGCATACACATAAATACATACATATACATATATACACATGCATGCACATGACTATACATGCACACACATGCACACACACATGGGGCAAGGACAAGAGTCCTTAAGGGCATGTCCTCAAGGACTGACCGACTTCATCCATTTCCAGTAGCGTGAACATCAAGACTTCAACATAGGAGCTTTCAGAGAGCATTTGAGATCAAAGCATAGCATCTGACCCCTGGCTCCCCAAACCCACATCTGTCCCCCAGTGCAAAGCGTGTTCAGTCTTTCTCACAGTCTCTCTCCATAGTTATACTTCATAGTTCATTGTTCCGAAGTCCAAGTCTGAAGTCTTCTTGGGGACTCAAAACAGTCCTTAGCTCTGCGTGCGTACCTCTAAAAAATCAAACTCTGGGGCTGGTGAGATGGCTTAGTGGTTAAGAGCACTTGCTGCTCTTGCAGAAGACCTGGGTTCAGTTCCTAGCACCCACATGGTGATTTATAACCATCTATAACTCCAGTTACAGGGGATCTGATGCTGTCTTCTGACCTCCATGGGCACCAGGCACACATTTAGTGCACAGACATACATGCAGGCAAAACACCCATATACATAAAACAAAACGAAATAAGTAAATCTAAAAAAACAAACAAAAAAACAAACCTTAAGTCCATAGTGATTTTTTAATAATGCTAGAATAGATCAGTCCATCTGCTGGGTCCCTAACAACCATACTCCGTGATTTCTAATACAGTGTGCCAGCTTAATTAACTTACACTAAGAAATCTGTCATAGTAATCAAAACACTAAGCTCCACAGGACAGACACTTCCTGGACTGGAAGTCTGCCTGCTAACTTAGAAGTGACTAGACTAGCTGAGGTCGCATGAGGAGAGGATCTACCAACCCTAGGTGGACCTGCACAGAAGCCACATCACAAATGCTCTTTGGAGAGGCTCCCACTGCTCTCTCCCTGAAGGAGGTGACCATTCAGTATTCTTCTCCGTGTCCTCTCCCGAGCAGCCTGCTGCCTGGCCACCACTCCCAGCCCCTAGACACGGGATGCCGCTCTGCTTCTGTAAGTGCATCCTTCGCATGCTTGACTCAAACATGCAACATGTTCATCTCCCATCTGAATATGACCAAAACACGTTTATTCCCACATTTCCGATGTCAACATGAGTACAAAAGGAAACCGCCTGAAGCCGGTTTTTTCTCTCCTTGCACTTGGCTCCCTTCAGAAGCGTTGGGTATGATTTTCTTCCTGTTATTCTGATGACACTCTTGACACCCTCCCTCTCCTCCCCCCGCTGTGGACAGGGTCTCACTATGTCGCTCTGGCTAGCCTGAAACTTGCCATGTAGACCAGGCTGAACTTGCCCTCCTAGAGGTCTCTGCCTCCTGAGTGCAGGGGTTAAAGGTGTGTGCCACCGTGCCTGGCTCCATCCTCCTTTAATTCAGTCTCTGGGTGCTGGTACAATGGCTAAGCGTGACGGTAGCTTCCAGCCAACCTGTGCTTGAGTCCCACCCTCTATGCCATGACACAGAGAGGTGAAGCTCCTGAACCAGCAGCTCTAGATCTGGGAAGCCCCCGTTCTCCTCCCTGCTTTCTCTTCCTTCTCGATGATGATTTGTTAAACCACAGCAATGATCATTCAGTTTTTCTAACCTTGCAGTCCGTTTCCCAAACTTCTTTCACAGGCCCCTTCTTCCTCGTCAGTGCTCTCATGATCAACGTCCTGAAGGAGAGACCGTTCAACAACGGCCACCTGATCATGGGAACTTTTGTCAAGGATGACTTTTCTCTCCCGACCTTCTACATAAACTATAACGGATCCTTGAGCGTGGTGGCAAGCACAACTTTCCTGACTGGAATTATTCAGGTAGGAGCTGAATCTCCAAATTCTTAAAAAAAAAAAAACGAAAGACTGGGTCTGTTGTGGTTTGAATGTGAAATGTTCCCCTGAAGACTCCTGTGAGTGGACACTGTTCCTCAGCTGGTGGCACTATTTTGGAAGGCTCCAGATCCTTTAGAAGACAGAGACCATGGAGGAAATGAGGTTTCATTCAAAACCTGGGCAGGCCTGAGGTTTTGTCTGGCAGTCCCACCTCCTGGCTTCCTACTTTGCAGGCTGTGAGTGAGCAGGGAAGGTCATTTGCACACCCTGCCACCATGCTGCCGTGATGGACACTGGCCCCATCCTGCCGGGCATTTGGTCACAGTGGCACCGTGACCGACACAGCAGTTTTGAGAGGCCCTCCTGTGACTGGTGTGTTGGAATCATAGTGATTTCTCTCTGAGCACTTGGAGAGCGTATGGATAGTCTTCTCAGACAGGGATCTTCTCCTGCCTTGGACACTGCCCACACTGACGTAGAATACTATTCTGAGCTTTCTCAACAGCCCTTTCTAAGAAAGAGGAGGGTCCAGGGGCCGAGAGCCCATTCCTGGTCTCACTCTCTCTAGTCTTGAGACAAGAAGGTGGTCTCACAAGCTGAACTTTTGGTTGACAAGCACCAGAGAACTCAGGTGGAGTCAGATTCTGCAATAACAAGCGCAGCCGAAGGACAGTGACGCAGCGCTGACCGAAGTCTCCACATTTGCTCCGGTGCTGTCACCAAGGTCACCTGCTGCTCCCCACCATGCGCCAGCCATTTTTCCAGATTCCCTTCTCTGTCCTCCCAGGTGACCCACACTCTGGCTGATTCTCACCCATCTCCCCAGGGCTGCCTCTCACGAGGTGAGGCTCCCAGGAGCCTGCAAAGGTGCCGCCTCAGTGGACAGCACCAGTCCCTGTGAGCTGACTGCCTTGGGAAATGCTTACACCCCAGTGAACCTCCGCTCTTTTGTGTATAAAATGGGAATAGTGTGTTCTGCAAGGTCTTTGCGAGGATTGGGTGAAAAACCTCATGTGAAATAGTCAGCCAGAGCCTGTCTGTCCCATTGCAAGCATCGGTGAGGTGGTTGCTGTGTAGAAGATGGACTGGCCCTTTAGCACGCCTCTCAATGCCACCTGCCTCTGGTCCTAGCTACTAGGGAGACCAAGACAGGAGCATCACCTGAGCCCAGGAGTTTGAGGCCAGCCTGGGCCACATAATGAGACTCTAATGAAGGAATAAATGAATGAGGATCTAGTTGAAGTATGTTATAAAATGATAGCTACATACTCCCCACGTTTATTTTATTATTTTTTAAAGATTTATTTATTATGTATGCATGTATCCCTGCAGGCCAGAAGAGGGCACCAGATCTCATTACAGATGGTTTTGAGCCACCATGTGGTTGCTGAGAATTGAACTCAGGACCTCTGGAAGAACAGCCAATGCTCTTAACCACTGAGCCATCTCTCCAGCCCACTCTCCACGTTTATATACATAAATGTACAAGCTTAGCAGGCTGAGAAAACTCTTGAGTAGAAAAACACTGAAAATCCACATGGAGATAAATGATAGCTAAGCTTCTGAAAACTAAAGGCAAAGGGGAGAAAATGCCCCTGGAGCAGCAGGATAAAGGAAAACACCTCAGACAACAGCAGGTTTCTTCTAGGAAATCCCAGGGAAAAGAGGGGCTTATGCCTGTGGCTGAAGAGATGGCTCAGAGGGGAACAGCACTTGTTGCTCTTGCAGAAGACTCAGGTTCCGTGGCCAGCACCCCTACCGCGGCTCACAGCCACATGCATCTCCAGCTCCAGGGATCTGAAGCCCTCTGCTGGCCACAGCAGGCACAAGGCACAGGCATGGTGCACAGCCCGAGGCCTGCTTGGACTGCAGAGTGAGGTCAAAGCCAATCTGAGCATCTTAACAAGAAAGTGCAGGAGAGACGGCGAGTGTGTAAAGTGCAGGAGAGACGGCTAGTGTGTAAATTGCAGGAGAGAAGGCTAGTGTGTAAAGTGCAGGGGAGATGACGAGTGTGTAAAGTGCTGCTGCTCTTACAGAGGCCCAGATTCAGTTCCTAGCACCCATGTCGGGCAGCTCACAACCCCTGTAACTCGAGTCCCAGGGCTCTGACACTTTCCTCAGGCCTCCTCAGGCTGCTCTATGCGTGGGCAGACACACACAGGTACATATACATAAATAAAATATATTGGGGGTGGTGGTGGCACACACCTTTAATCCCAGCACTCAGGAGGTGAATGCAGGTGGATATCTGTGAGTTCGAGGCCAGCCTGGTCTACAAAATGAGTTCTGAGACACCCAGGGCTACACAGAGAAACCCTGTCTTGAAAAACCTTTAAGAAAAAAAGAATATATCTTTTAAAAAATTTAAAGTACAAGAAAGGGAGACTTGGGCTGGAGATATGGCTCAGTGGTATGCCAAAGATTTAAGAAAGTTCCATTGACTCTTCTTTTTATTATTGTTGTTGTTGATTTTTTTGAGACAAGGTCTCAAAACTTGGTATTTAGATCAGTTGGCCTCACAGAGATCGCCCGCCTGTGCCACTAGAGTGCTGGGATCAAAGGCGTGCACTGCCACCACAGCCCCCACTGAATCTTTTTTGTTTTGTTTTGTTTTGTTTTTCGAGACAGGCTTTCTCTGTGTAGCCCTGGCTGTCCTGGAACTCACTCTGTAGCCCAGGCTGGCCTCAAACTCACAGAGATCCGCCTGGCTCTGCCGACCGAGTGCTGGGATTAAAGGCATGAGCCACCACCGCCCGGCTACCATTGAATCATTTTTAATACACAGGAGTCACAAGGCCAGGATTTCTGATCTGGCATTTGGGTTGGTTTGCTTGCTTGTTTGGGGACAGGGTCTCACATAGCCCAGGCCGCTCTAACACTCACTGTGTAGTCATGGACGCCCTTGAACTCCTGATCCTCCTGCCTGCTCCTCCTGAGTGCTGGGGCTGCAGGGGAGCACCACCACATCACGTTCTGCTTCTCAGCCCCTCTTGTCTTCTCCTCTGTGAAAACCTGCATTCCTCAGAGGTGAGAGGGCTCGGACCCAAGGCCTTTGGAAAGATGAGCCTTGTCCCTGTCATCCCTCCTCCATGTCCATCTGGAGGGCAGAGAACCTGGGGAAAGATGCTGAGAGCCGCCAGCGTTTCAGAAGAAAAAGAAGAGTGTGGGCCGGGGCTTGCTGGGAACCTTTGAGTCTACACCCAGGGACCCCAGCTCACTGGGGAGCTCTCCAAGGCGCCCCTCATCTTTTGGTTGGGATCTTTTTTGAGCAGAGGCCGTGGGGCCCCTGGGGAGTCCAGTTGATGCTATCGCTGACTTGATTACTGTCTTAGTGAGGGTGACTGTTGCTGTGATGAAATACCACGACATGCACTTGGGGAAGAACGGGTCTGTTTCAGTCACAGTTCATTATGGCAACTAATATTAATTAGTTCAATCACTAATTAAGAAAATGCCCTGTAGGCTTGCTTACAATCAGGTCTTATGGGGTCATTTTCTCAGTTGAGGCTCCTTCCTCTCAGATGACTCTAGCCTGTGTCAAGTTGACATAAAACCAGCCAGCACAGTGACCTGAGTCTCTGTTTTTTTCTTTTCTCCCCAACCCCACAGCTGTCAATGGGTATGCTGGGAATGGGCTTCATGGCCACATACCTTCCAGATGCCGCAATCAGCGCTTACCTAGCTGCTGTGGCCCTACACATCATCCTGGCCCAGATGACATGTGTCTTTGGGATTATGATCAGTTTCCACGCTGGTCCCGTCTCCTTCTTCTACGTGAGTAACCTCAAGCCTCTCCAGAGTTCACACAGCCCTCCTCTGGCCTAGGAAGAAAGGTGGGCCCAAGTGGACAGACTTCTGCCTGTACCAGAAGGATAAGAGGGCCCAGAAGTAACTCCATCTCCTGTGGGTTTCTGGTCAACTGCAGAAGCTGGTTTGAGCATATGCTCAGATGCTTCACTAACCACTTCAACTCAGCCTTTTAAGCCAGATGGTTTGAATTAAAATTTGTCCATGGAGCAGGGCAGTGGTGCATACTCCTTTAACCCCAGCTCTCAGGAGGCAGAGGCAGCTGGATCTCTGAGTTCGAGGACAGCCAGGGCTACACAGAGAAACCATGCCTTAAAAAAAAAAAAAAAAAAAAAAATTGGCCATGGGGTCAGTGACATGGCTCAGCTGGTAGAGTTGACTGCCAGCAGTGTGTAGAGCTAAGTTACATCCCTGTAGCCTGCCTGCAGGAAGGAGAGAATGAACTACCAAAGTTGTGTAGACACACACATACTTACATGCTCATACACTAAATACTAACTTTAAGAAAATTAAATTTAGCATGGCAGTGATAGCACATGCCTTTAATCCCAGCACTCAGGAGGCAGAGCCAGGTGGATCTCTGTGAGTTCAAGGCCAGCCTGGTCTACAGAGTGAGATCCAGGAAAGGCGCAAAGCTACACAGAGAAACCCTGTCTCGAAAAAAAAAATGAAATTTCATCATGAAGTTACTATTCCATAATTCTCCCTATCAGGCGCCACATAGCAGACTTGTATCCTAAATACACAGGGAGTATTTGTAAGTAGCCCCCAAATGCAGAAACAAAACAGAAGTTCAGCTAAAGAACATGCATGGCCTGAAAAATAACAGTGGACAGTTAACAAATAGAACTTTCGCACTCAAGAGGCAGAGGCAGGTGAATCTCAGTAGTGTTGAGGCCAGCCCTTTTTATATAGCAAGTTCCAGGCCAGCCAGGAACCTCCAACCCCCCCAAGACAGATTCTTAGGTCCTTTCCCTTACAATGAAACATATAAATATGTTCTCTCTTTATTCAACATTATTGCCTTTTTTAGTATCTACTCTTCAATTTAAAAAGCAAAATAAAACAACATATTAAGCCAAGTAAATCTGGTGGCTCAGGCTTGTAATCTCACTCACTTGGGAGACTGAAGCTGGAGGATCACAAGTTCAAAGACTGCTTGCCCTACAAGATGAGTTCAGGGTCAGCTTGGGCAATTTAATGAGACCTCGTCTCAAACGAATAAAATAGAGGGCTGGAGATATAGTGCAGTGGAAGAGCACTTGTTCACTGTGAGCAAGGCCCTGGGTTCAATCCCTAGCATGGAGGAAAACTACCGAAACTACACAGCCCTCATACCCACCCTCGGTGTTCCAGCAGAGCCCAGTTGACCCCGGCAGCTCTTCTTTGCTCTTTAATTTGGGAAGAAGGCCCATTTGTTAGATTCCAGCAATCGTGATATCCCTAAGGAAAGCTCCGCAATGTCTTCTTCTTTCAGAACATAATTAACTACTGCGTAGCTCTCCCCAAAGCCAACTCCACCAGCATCCTGCTGTTCCTCACTGCTGTGGTGGCTCTGAGAATTAACAAGTGCATCCGCATTTCCTTCAACCGCTACCCCATCGAGTTCCCCATGGAGCTGTTTCTGGTAGGTGTCTTCCCATGAGTGATGGTAAATACTCCCTTTTAAAAAAAAGCATAAAGTTATAACCTAGGAAGACAGAGACGACATTATGAAACAAGAGTCAAGGGCAGGGGGTGGTTAAAAGTGTTTGCTGTACTTTTAATCTTGGCACTTGGGAGGCAGAGGCAGGCAGATCACTGAGTTCCAGGACAGCCAGGGCTATGCAGAGAAACCCTGCCTTGAAAAACCAAAAAACAAAATTGGGTCTTGCTCAGGCGTACTTGACAGTAGAGTTTTATATACTTGCCTGCACATGGAGAGGTTTGGGCCTGTTATAGTTACCTTTAGTCAGGCTAGTCAACGCCTCTGCCACCACACAGGTGTATCTCCTTTGCTCCTTTGTTTTGGTCAGCTCAAGCTGGCCTCCAACTCTCAGCCTACCCTCAAGTTCTGGGGTTACAGACACAGAGCCCCACGGCCAGCCAATGGATACAGAGACCATGGCCAGTGACCATCTTTTCACTGTGAAAACATTTAAGATCCTTCGCTTTCCCAGTTTTCAAGTCTACAGTACACTATTATCAACTGTGGGCCCCAGGCTGTACCAACAGTGATCTCTACCCAAATGCTTATGTTTTTAAAATGTGTCATGTGTGTGGTGTGTATGTATGCACACATGTGTGCTGAGAGCACTTGCCCGTGTGGGCACATTAGAGGCCAGAGGTTGACATCAGGTTTTCTTCTGTTGCTCTCTACCTTGGCTTTTCTTTTAATTTAAATTTTTTTTAGTTCTCTGTATGTGTGTATGTCAGGGGTACATACATGTGAATATAAGTGCCCTCAGAGTCCAGAAGTGGATATTGGATCCCCTGGAGCAGCAGTAACAGGCGGTTCTGAGGCAGTGATGTGGGTACCAGGAACTGAACTTGGGTCCTCTGGAAGAACAGCATGTGCTCTTAAGCCCTGCGTGTCTCTCCAGCCCCTCCCCTTCGTTCCTTTGAGAAAGGCTCTCACTGAACCTGGAGTTCCGACTAGCCAGACAGGCCGGTCTGCGGGCTCTTTGGGCTGCGGGCTCTTAGGACGCACACACCCGTGCTGCTTGGGCTGCAGGCTGGTGGGGAGAGAGGCCCCAACATCCCCCTGCCCCCATCCACGTGTCAGAGACCAGGGCTGCCCTTGCTTTGGTTCCAATGCCAAAAGGAGCTTGGAGAATCAAAACAGAAGGCCTCCCTTGACTTTCCAGTCAGGACAGCCCGCATCTCATTCCCTGTTACGCTGGGCCTCTGCACCCCGCTCCTGGAAGCAATGCACAGGCTTTAATCATATGCTTCCCCTTTGAACTCTCGACAGATCCTTGGCTTCTCCATACTTACAAACAAGATAAGCATGGCTACCGAGAATAGCAGGATGCTGATCAACATGATTCCTTACAGGTCAGTCACTTTCCTTTCTTCTTCCTTTTGGTTTGTTGGTTTTGGTTTTTCTGAGACAGGGTTTCTCTGTACATAGCCCTGGCTGTCCCGGAACTCTGTAGATCAGGCTGGCCTTGAACTCAGAGATCCTCCTGCCTCTGCCTCTGAGTGCTGGGATTAAAGTCATGCACACCACCAACAACCATGTCATTCTACCTTTCAAGATTGCTTTCCCTTTATTATTATTATTTTTGTGTGTGTGTGTGTGATAGGGTCTTGCTGTACAGCCCAGGTTAGCCTGAGACTCACTGTCTTTCTGTGGTTGTATTTTAAAATTGACTCTCAGTGGGCTTGGTGGGTGGAGCCAAGGGGCACAGCAGAAAGTCACTCGTACCATGAGATAGCGCTAGCACGTTCACACACGAAAAGTTTTATTTTTAAAGGGGGAAGGCAGAAGGAGAAGGGAAGAGAAGGGGGCGGAGAGAGAGGGTGGCAAGAAAGAGGAAGGAAGAGAGAGAGAGAGAAGGAAGAGGGTTTTTTCTTAAAGAGGACTTTAAGGGAGATGTCAGGACACTGGGCGGGTCCCCAAGGGGCCGGTCTGAATGCTAATCTCTGCTTCAACTTCAAAAGTCCTGGGATGACCAGGATGAGCGTGCCTTCATGGCCAGCTGTTCTCCCCTTCTCAGACCTTCTCTAGGCCTCTCTCCACACAGCCTACCTCAGAGTCTTTCCTAGCAGTGCTTGGCTACTGCTAAGTTCACCTAGAACACATGTGCAGACCTCAGCCTTCCAGCCAAGATCGAGTGTGGAACAGAGGGTGTGAGCAAATGGGCCGGCACAGCTGTTTCTCCTCCTAAGAGAGCCTGTCAGCTTACCAAGACACCTGCTGGATGCCCAGAACACCAGACACTTGATCCTCTTGTCTATAGGCATTATGGGTCTACCGAGCCCCGCCCTGGTCTGATTAACTTCCAAGAGCAGAGCAAGAAAGCCAGGCATGTAGCACCCACGTGTAATCCCAGCATTTAGGGGGTGGAGGCAGGAGGATTAGGAGTTAAAGGCTAGCCTTGGCTACACATCAATCACAAGGCTAACCTGGGCTGCATGAGACTATCCCCCTCCCCCAAACAACAACAAAAGATAGGACGAGAGACGCATTTCCTAGTGTCTCTAATAGAAAACACGGGTTTCCATGTTGGGGAGAACTGTGGCTTCGCCGTCACCCACTTGAGTGTGGGTTGCAGCGGCTCTCTCCTTCCTCTCCCTCCTTCTCTTTCTTAAATTGGGCTGGGATTGAAGCTCCAGCCTCTCACAGGCCGGGCGAGCACTCGGCCATTGCACCACACTTTCTTCTTAACTGGGTAGCTTCCTCTGACCATGCTGGCGGCTCTGAGGAACTCACGACTCCTCTGCATTTGGTTCATCTGTGAGTGACTGCAGGGCAGACTCTTGCCGCCATCAGACAGTTACCGTTTGGACTTTGATCGGAAAGGACTAGACTGAATTGTCTTGACCCATAGGCAGACTTTTAAAGAACACTGCTCGTGTCTCCACATTGTTCAAAGGGGAATCCCAAAGTGCTAGGGACACTGGCTGAACTCCAGGATGACAACAGGCAGGCTGTTTTATGCAGTCACGTTGAACCAGGCCCATCTCCTAACCATTCCCTTTGAAATGCAGTGATGGCCAAAAGCATTTGACATCCTACCCCGTAACAGGCAGGAGCAGACACCGCCTCTCCAGCATGGGGCAGGAGGACAGGGGAAGTCAGAGGACGAGAACAGTGATGCGGTGAACACTTCGTATTTACTTCCTCTGCCCCCCATAGTAGTACAAGGGGCACGGTCTTCCTGTGGAGGAAACTGAGGCTCGTCAGGGTAGAGGACGCGACATCCAGACAGTGGCACAGCCACCATTGAAGCTCATTTCTGTGTCCTTCCCAAGTCTCTGATGGTAACCAGTGGACTATACCAATACTCAGTGTACGTGCGTTCCTTTGTTGTTGTTGTTGTTGTTGGAGACAGGGTTTCCCTGTGTAGCCCTGGCTGTCCTGGAACTCCCTCTATAGACCAGGCTGGCCTCGAACTCACAGAGATCCACCTGGGAACAAAGATGTGCATACCACCATGCCCAGCAACTTGCATTCTTTTTAAACATTTTTTCTGTTTTATTTTTTTTTTGTGTGTGTGTTTTCTTCTTTACACTTTTTTTTTGGGGGGGGGGGGGGAGCGGCGGCCGCAGAGCCAGCTCGGATTTGCAACTCTTCGGAATTTTTTTTTTTTGGGGGGGGGGGGGATTGCATGCTACAGCATGCATATGAGGTCCAAGGACAACTTGTGGGAGTTGGTTCTTTCCTTATACCACGAGAGTCCCAGGAATCACACTCAGGACGTCAGGCTTGGTGGAGAGCAGCAGTGAGCATTACCCACTGATCCATCTCTCAGCCTGGTTTGTATTCTTAATGGCTCCCAAAATACATAGCCCACTTCAGTTATCTTTAAGATTCACATATAGAGAAGAAAACGTTTCAGAAATCCAATTTAACATTGCTTTGAATGTTCTTTATTTTCCCCCTCCTTTTTTTTTTTTTATTCTTATTTATCCATGGCTGTCAGGAACTGGTAAAATTGGACACTGTAACTTAACTCCTGCTTTGCTCATATTTCCTGGTGTTTTCTGTTTTATTGCTTTGGGTAATGGTTTTGGCTTTTGTGATATAGGTAGTCTAGACCAGCATTGAATTCCTGACCCTCCAGCATGCACATCCCAAGTACTCCAATTATAAATGTGCTCTATCACATCCAGCTTCTTTTTAATCTTGATTTGCTGATAAGAATTGAGCACAGGGTGGTGGTGGTGGTGGTGGTGGTGGTGGCGCACACCTTTAATCCCAGCACTCGGGAGGCAGAGGCAGGTCCATCTCTGTGATTATGAAGCCAGCCTGGTCTACAGAGCAAGTTCTAGGACAGCCTGGGCTACACAGGGAAACCCTGTCTCTGAAAAACAAACCAAAACCAAAGGGACTGAGTGACCCAGACTGTAGGAGGAGGAAAAGAGTGGCTTGCACTTTGGACTTGTGCAGTGAACGGCATTTACTATTTACCTCTTTGGAGTGGTCACTTTCTTACCCAACTTCATAAATGAACAAAAATGGAGATCTGGGCTTTAACCCTTAACTAGGAAGTTTTCATTGGATAAAGTATTATTGCTCTACAGAAAAGTCTACCACAAAAATAGAGAAATGAAAGATGGACCATATCCATTCTCCTAAATTAGGTGTGAAGGACTGTGTCGGCATGAAGATGTATATATTCATCCATCCACACATATGTGCATATGCGTGTATAAGCTCCCCCAACCATCAGGGTTTCTTTCCCTTTTTTGACTTTTCCTATTGTGAATGTTATACACATTTGAAGGTTAACCCTCTCATGTCCTGAGAGGAAGCCCATGTGGTTCTGTCATATTATCATTTTATATGTTGGTCAGATCTCTTCCATTTTGGTCATGAAAAACATTGGCTGAGATGGTCTTTTCCTTACGTCTTCAGTTTCTGGAAGTTTCTATAAAACTGGCATGATTTCCTTACACACTTGGTAGAATCCATCAGTGAAGCTATGTAGGCCTGAAGGTTTCACTGTGGGAAGGCTCTTAATTATAATTCAGTTTGAAATGTGCCATTTTTTAAGTTTGTGTTTTGGAGATGGGGTTTTAGGCAGCCCAAGCATTGAACTCCTGGCCCTGTGGACTCTGGGTTTTTGTCGGGCAGGCAAATGCTCATGCCCAGCTTGCATGTTGTTAAACAAAACTCTTATTGGTCTCGGTCACTTTCTCGTGGTAAAATACTCTGTGACGGAAGCGGCACAGGGAGAGGGGTTTTAGTCATGTCGGTTATAAGGCGAGCATGCAGCCTCCCGGACTGGAGGAGGCCAAGGAGGCCTTCCCCATCAGGAAGCAGAGGGAGGCGTGCGCCCTCCTCCTCTTGCAGTCCTGGCTCCCAGCCATGTGCAGCACTGTCCGCAGTGGGCAGGTCTCCCCCAGACACGCCCAGAGGCTCATCTCCCAGGTGACCCAGATACTCAGGTTGACAGTGGCTGCCAACCATCACACCGCGTGGTCACGGTGTCTGCTTCGGGTTATCTGTTGCTCCTGGAGAACACTTGGTTAATGTGACTCATTCCCAACATTTGCTCATTTATTCTGAATTATCAAATACACTGGTATAGTTATTTGTGCCACTCTTTCATTATTATTTTGACATACCGGAAGACTCAGTCTTTAAAGTGCACCGTTCAGTCAGCCAGGCGTGAGGGTGCACAACTGTGACTCCAGCCTGGGGAGACACAGACGGTGCACTGGGCACTCCAGATCAGCCTGGGATACCTGAGATTCTGATTCAGAAAGTAAAAAAACAAACTCCAGGAGAGAAACTGTGGGTGGAATTTGTATGTTCCCCAATGAAGGGCAGGGAGGAGAGCCTGTCCTGAAGAATGTGAATAGAGGGACTCGTGGAGCCTTTGAGCTCTAAAGCATCCTGGATGGAGGGTTAACCTTCAGCACACCCCGCAGAATGCTCTCAGGCAGAAGCAGAAACATCTTTCTCCAATCACAGCTGGTGTGTGTCCTCTCTGTGAGGTGGGACTAGGGCCGAGCCGCAGAGGATGTTGTTTTGATGGTCTTTGGAACCTGGCTCAGCTCACTCACTGCTTCGGCAAGCTTGCCGCTGCCTCCATTGCTCTGTTTGTCCTTTAGTGTTGTTAGGAAGGGAAAACAGGCAGGGGAGGGGCCAGGAGGCCTGCCTGGCGTGAGGAAGCGCAGGAGAGACAAGGAAAGGGACTCCTCACCACCCAGCAGTAATTCTACTCTTCTGTTCCAGCTTCGTGTTCCCCGAGACTCCAGAGTTCGGCGTTCTCACCAGGGTGATTTTACAGGCCATGTCTTTATCTTTAGTCAGCTCCTTTCTGCTCGTGTCTCTGGGCAAGAAGATTGCCAGCTTCCATAACTACAGAATCAACTCCAACCAGGTGAGGGAGCCCGTGTGCCCTTGTTCTCTGATTTGAGCACCCCCCCCCCCAACATGAAGGTTACCTTCCTCTTTAACCAGAGTTATTTGCAATCATAATTTGGACTGCAACCACATAAGGTTTCTGAGAAGTGGAGGATGTGTAACTTGGAACTCATACAAGCATTATTCCCCTAGAATGGATATATACGGTGCAGAGAAGCAAAGAATTAACCGGAGGGGGGGGCACATGTTCGTTACCCAACACTCAAGAGGCAGAGGCAGGATAGGAGTTAAAGGCCAACCTTAGCTTCATAGCAAGTGAAGCTAGCCTGGGCTACATGAGGTCCTGTCTCAAAACAGGGTGGTGAGTGATAACACATGGCATGGTAACGCTGAGCTGGCAGAGCCCCTGTCTTCCTTCCCTATGGCCGTAGAAGCCAGATGCATGCTGGGGCACCAGTGCCACAAGGTAGCAATACAGACCAGGCTGCTCGTCTCTGTCGATACGACAATGCCCTGCCATTGGCCTTTGCTTTTATTTTTTAGGAAAAATCTCCAACTACTCTGAAAGTGGTACTTTCCCGAAAAGTCAAGAGGGACCCAGAGGCAAGCGGTGTCTCAGCCAGACACTTAGGTTAGTGTAGAGGGGGAGAGGCCAGCACTGAGCTCTCTGTCTGCCCAAGTCCCAGGGGTCATGAAAAAGAGGAAAGAGCAGGAGTCAGCTTTATTACTTTCAGAAAGTACTTCCCCTATGATCAGAGGCTAGGCCAGAGACACAATGTAATCTAGATCAGATCGGCCCTTCCTGTACGCTTCCTGAGGAGGCTACGGCCAAGTGTGGTTGGAAGGGCATAAGAACCCTAACTCCAGCCTCTCAGGGCAGTGTGCCTCTAGGTCAACTTCAGATTCCTCAACCAAGAGTGGGCTCAAAGGCCCTGCTGTCTCTTCACAGGACTTAATAGCCATCGGCCTCTGCAACGTGGTCAGCTCCTTTTTCAGGTCTTGTGTGTTCACGGGAGCCATGGCCAGGACTATTATCCAGGACAAGTCTGGAGGAAGACAGCAGGTGTGTTGAAAAGGGATCCCATCCCTACTGTGTTCCCATGAGGAAAGAGATGCACGTTTGTCCGCATGGCTGTCTGCACGTCTGTCTGCATGGCTGTTTGTAGAAGGGCTTCATCTGGGTTGATTTCGCTGTAATGTTCTAGTCAGTGGAGAGGCTCTGGGAAGAGTTTGGATCCCATGCTCACCTTAATTTTTGCTCAGATTTTGTCTTAAAAGTTATTGGGAGGGGGCACATAGTAGCACATGCCTGTAATTGCAGCACTCATCTCTAGCCCTGCTGGGGGTCTGGAGAGATGACTCAATAGTTAAGAGTACTTACTGCTTATAGAAGACCCAGGTTTGATACCCAGCACTCACATCAGGTGGATCACAAACACCCATAACTCCAGTTCTGGGAGATCCATCATCCTCTTCTGGGCTCCTCAGGCACGAGGCACACACACATGATGCAAATATATACATGCAGGCAAATAGTCATCCACATGAAATAAAAACAACCTTTCAAAAAGATGAGACACACCAGGCATGGGGGTGTACACCTTTAATCCCAGCACTCAGGAAGCAGAGACTGTGAGTTCGAGACCAGCCTGGTCTACATAGTGGGTAAGTTCCAAGACAGCCAGGGCTACATCATGAGGTCCTCTTTCAAATACCAAACAGACAAGATGAAAGGCCACTGAAGATGGGAAGTTGTCACAGCTCCCAGCAGCACAGGACAGGCAGGGCATCTAGTTACACAGGAAGTAGAATGGGTGGCACTTGGGGCTGTCAGTGAGGTATCCGCTCGGGGGTGGAGTTTCTAAGTTGTGTGAGGAGTGGCTAACGTTTTGAAGGAATACAAGCCATATACTTGAGGAGATCCATAGTCCCAAGCTGTGACAATTAGGATTCCAGGGAAAACTGGAACGTTCCAGTCAGCAGTCACAGGACACTTATGAAGTGACTACTATGTGTCGACTGCTTCACTAAGATCCTAAAAGGCATGTGTGCTGAACCCCTAACTCCTCTTAAGAAGAACAAATGACGTGCTTCCCAGCAAACAGAAGGCCTCAGTTGAAGACAGGGACCAGCACGCTCCTGACGGTCTCTCTCCAACCGGCTCTGTCTCCTCAGTTTGCATCTCTGGTAGGCGCAGGTGTGATGATGCTCCTGATGGTGAAGATGGGGAGCTTCTTCCACAACATGCCTAACGTAAGTGGGATTGAGTGACTCAGGTAAATCAGGAAAGGTGGGGGCTGGGGGCTGGGGAGATGGCTCCGTCATCATCAAGGAGCCCGGGGTTGTTCCAGCACCCATGTGACAGCTCACGACTTTCTATAACTCCAGTCCCCAGGGATTCAGTGCCCTCCTTGGCTTCTTCAGGCACTTCATGAGTGTGGCACACATACATACATGCAGGCAAACACGCATTCACATAAAAATAAATACATCTTAAAAGAAAGAAAGAAAGAAAGAAGGGATCTTGGTTGAGCATACATGCAGAGAGTTGCATTTTCCTGGTCTCCAGTCGTTTTTCTTCAAATAATAACGTCTTGGAGCCAGGGAGACGACTCAGTTGGCAAGGGTGCTTGCTGTAAAAGCATGAGTACCTGAGTTCAGATACTCAGCACCCATGGAAAAGCCAGGTGTGGCTACATGTATGTAACCCCCATGCTAGGAGGAGGTGGGCAGAGGCAGGAGGATTGCTGGGGCTTGCTGACTGGCCAGCCTAGCTTTAAAAAAAAAAAAAAAAATGGCGAGCTTCAGCTTCCGGTTCAGTGAGCAGCCTTATCTAAGGAGAATATGGAATATGGTGAAGAGTGACAGAGCAGGACCTTTGAGGTTCTCTGTTGCTGGACGGCTTCTCTCCAGGTTCCCCAAGCCCCGCAGTCCCACAATCCACGTATAAAATAATCACTCAGACGCTTATATCACTTATAAACTGTATGGCCGTGGCAGGCTTCTTGCTAACTGTTCTTTTATCTTAAATTAACCCATTTCTATAAATCTATACCTTGTCACATGGCTGGTAGCTTACCAGCGTCTTCACATGCTGCTTGTCCTGGCGGTGGCTGCAGTGTCTCTCCGCCTCAGCCTTCTGCTTCCCAGAATTCTCTTCTCTCCTTGTCCCACCTACTTCCTGCCTGGCCACTGGCCAATCACTGTTTTATTTATTGACCAATCAGAGCAATTTGACATACAGACCATCCCACAGCAGTTCTCCTCTCCTCTCTGTTGGTGCTTAGGTACACAAACACCCTCGAACTCACAGACAGCAGTAATCACGGTAGTGTCTCCATCATAAGGTTGGACAGTAAGCATGATTCCGTGGAACCCATGTCTGTATGTAATCCAAGTCTCTATTCGTGTAACACCAGATCATGTTAAACTCAGTGAGTGTTCAGGAAACACGATCTTATAAGCTCAGCTTCAGGTGTGGGGACTCCGCGAGGAGCGAGCGACACACCAGATTCAGATGCCTGACTCCAGTGCCAGTGAGACTCAGCCACTTAGGCTCCTGTGCCTTTTGTGTCCGAACTCTGCCCTCCACCGCTGTCCCACGGCCTCTCCGTTATCCAGAGCATCGGGAGCCGGGGCTGCAGACTCACTGCCCGCTCTGTGTTCAGCTGGCTCTGGCAGCGTCCCTGGGTCCCTTCCTCCCTTTGTTTGAGAGCTGTAACCAAGTGACTCTAAGCAATAACAGAGGTTCGTGCCCAGATACACAGAACATGCCAGAACGTTAGCCGAGGCTATCTATCTCCTCAGTGACAAAAACTACCCAGACCAGGCATGGGGACATACACTTGTGATTCTAGCACCCAGTATACAGAGACGGGAGGATTGTCGGCCAGCCTGGTCTATGGAGTGAGCTGAGGGGTAGCCAGAGCTACATAGAGACCTTGTCTCATAGAAAAAAAAAAAAAAAGTTTTTTTTTAAAATGAAAGTATGTAGGAATGTAATTAATTTTTAATCAAGTGTTTTCCCTTAGTATTCAGAAAGGACATAGCTTTGCTGTACATGGCTTTATGATGAGATTTGTTTCCTGGAGATATTCCTTGCCTCAGGTTCAAAGAAAAAGAATTCAGCCAGGTGGTGGTGGCACACACTTTTAGTCCCAGCACTGGGGGAGGCAGAGGCAGACTGATCTCTCTGAGTTTGAGGCCAGCCTGGTCTACAGAGCAAGTTCCAGGATGGCCAGGGTTACACAGAGAAACCCTGTCTCAAAAAAAAAACAAAAACAAAAAAACCCAAAAGGAAAAGAAGAAGAATTCTACCAACCCCTATGGAGTTAAGATGCTTTCCTTCCCCACAACTTCTGACATTATTTTTGGTTGGAGATTTTTTTTTGTTTTTGTTTTTGTTTGGTTTGGTTTGGTTTTTGGTTTTTGAACATAGAATTTCTCTGTGTAACAGTCAGGACTGTCCTGGAACTGGCTTTGTAGACCAGGCTGGCCTCAAACTCACAGAGATCCACCTGCCTCTGCCTCCCGGGTGCTGGGATCAAAGGCGTGCACCACCACACCTGGCTCCCCTTTCCGACATTGTTAAAAGCTTAGCTACAGGGTCTCTGTAGAGATGGCTCAGCAGTTAAGAGCACTTGGCTCCTCTTCCAGAGGTCTGAGTTCAATTCCCAGCAACCACATGGTGGCTCACAACCATCTGTTATGGGGTCAGATTCCTTCTTTTGGTATGCATGAAGACAGTGTACTCCTATGCATAAAATACAAGAATAAATAATCTTTAAAAGTAGGTAAAATCAATATCAACTTATTTAAAAAAAAAAAAAGTGCCAGGTGGTGGTGCACACCTGTAATCCCAGCACTCGAGAGGCAGAGGCAGGCGGATCTCAGTGAGTTCGAGGCCAGCCTGGTCTACAGAACAAGTTAGTTCCCGGACAGCCAGGGCTGTTACACAGAGAAACCTAAAGCGGTAGGGAAGAAGCCACACCGGACTCTGCCCGTGCTGTGCCCTCTTAAGCCGACGCATGTGCTGTGTCCTCAGTGAGCTTTCTCAGAAAGCAAGCACAGACTTGGGCCCAGCCAGGGCTGACCTTGGCGTGGCCTTGCCCGATGTGACACACACTAGAGCAAAGGCAGGTAACACTGTTTATCTTCCTCCCACAGGCCGTGCTGGCGGGGATCATCCTGAGCAATGTGATACCCTACCTGGAAACCATTTACAACCTACCCAGTCTGTGGAGGCAGGACCAATATGACTGTGTGAGTACAGAGGCCCCGGGGAGGGTGGGGGACGGGTGGAGCTGGAGCCTGCAGAGGGGACACAATCAGCTGGGGCAGCATCCCCAAGCATCTCCAAAGGGGCAATCGAGGGTAATGTCAGTCAGTCTTGCCACTAGAGACCCGGGAACCCACCTGAGAAAGCTGGGCATTGTGGCACACACTTAGAATCCCAGACTAGAAAGGCAGAGGCAGGGGTGTCCCTGGAACTTGCTGGCCAACAGCCTAGCCTACAAGGAGCTCTAGGCCAATGTGAGACCCAGTCTGAAAAACATAAAGTGTATAGTTCCTCTGGCCTCCACATGCAGGCACACACATGTACAGTCATCTCTGCACACACGTATGACTACCACAACAACATGAGCACTCATACATACATACATAAAGTAAATAAAACTTAAAAAATAAATAAATATGCATAATTACACATTTAAAATAAATGTTTAATTACAGACAATTAACTATCATTCCATGAGTTCTGATTGGCTTTCCAAGTGTGATTTCTCATGTCAACCCGTCCTACCATCCACAAGGTAGATAACATTGTCTCCATTTTGTACACAGGGAAAATGACATTTTGGGAAAGCAATAGAGAGAGAGATGATCAGGAATCTATCAGAGAATGTCTAGACAGCCTCTAGGGCCAGGTCCATTCTGCTCATTTTCACGGTCTCCTTCCCCTCCATCCTTTTCCCACAAGGTTGTTTGGATGGTGACATTTTCCTGTGCTATTTTCCTGGGACTAGACGTGGGACTGCTTATTTCATTAGTCTTTGCATTCTTTGTCATCACTGTCCGCTCGCACAGGTACTCAGGCTCTGGTAAGTGGAGGGCAGCCTGGCAAGGCCAGGCGCAGGGGACCTAAGACAGGTGCCTTCCCTTCTAGATCGAAGATCCTTGTCTTGGGTCAGATCCCCAACACCAACATCTACAGGAGCATCAATGACTACCGGGAGGTAAGAAGCCAGCCCAGGGATGGGGCAGATGGCTCAGTGGGCAAAGCCGGTGCCGTGTGTGTGTGTGTGTGTGTGTGTGTGTGTGTGTGTGTGTGTGTAGTTCACCTCCCCAGAGCTCACTGGAATCTGAGTGCTTGGGAGGCCAGAGAGGACATCCTGGTACCAGCTGGGTATCTAGACTAACGGAGTCCTAGAGCTCTGGATTTCAGTGAGAGACCCTGCCTCGGCAAACAGTGGACAGCAACTGAGGAAGACACTTGACCTTAACCTCTGGCCTCCCTCCACACATGCACCTCATACACCTCAGAGCACGTGCACGCCTGTGTGCCCACACACATACAGAAGGGGAAGCGGAGTGTGGAGAAGAGCCAGCCCCGCCCAGCCCTTCAAGGCACTACAGCCCTCTCACAGGCCCTGGGTGGGGGGGTGGGGACATGAGGCTCCAAGGGACCGGTGTCCTTACACCCCTACAGCCAGCAGAGGGCCCTCTCACCGTGGATGGGGGGGGGCTAGCTAAAGAGTGGGAAATGGAAGAGGACAGCAAAGCAAGGTGACAGGTGTGGAGGTGTCTGCTGGCCTTTGACCTCAGTGCTCTGGAGGAGAGGCAAGTGAGACCCAGCTCTAGTTCCAGGCTAGCTGGAGGTACACAGTGAGACCCTGGAGAGGGAGGGAGAGCTGGGGGTGAAATGGGAAGGGGCTTTTCTAGCCCTCACCCCACCGAGGCCAGAAGCTCTTGCTGAGCCATACAACCGCGTGGTTCATACTCCCTGCTGAGCAGAGGCCCTGGTGCTCCCTTGCTGCTGCCCGCTCCCCCAGGACCGCTCCCCCGACGCCCGCTCCCTCGCCCCGACGCCCGCCCCCTCGCTGCTGCCCGCTCCCCCAGCGACGCCCGCCCCCTGGCCCCGTGTCTTGCAGGCGGTGCTCATCCCTGGGGTGAAGATCCTGCAGTGCTGCAGCTCCCTCACCTTTGTCAACGTGTACAAGCTGAAGCACAAGCTGCTGAAGGAGGTGAGGCCACCGCCCGCCCGCCCGCCGCCCCTACCCCCGGGCCTCCCCCAGCCTGGGGCCTCCCTTTCCAGCACCCTTCCTTCCACACAGGCGCCTCTGTGTGACCCTCCTCTGCCTCCCAGGTCAATATGGTGAAGAGGCCTCTTAAAGAAGAAGAAATATTCACCCTGTTTAATGAAAGTCAGACCAGTATATCGGAACAGAGTATTTGCCGGTGTTTCTGCGACTGTGAAGAGCTGGAGCCCGAGCCCAGGGTGAGCCACGCCTGTCCTTCCTGCTCCCCCGCCCTTTCCTTTACCAGCAATCCGCCGCCCCCTCCAGGAAAAACAGTGGCTCCACACACATGAATGCACACGCGCAGCCCGCACTCAGTGGACTCCGGACATGGGGCGAGGGCCCTGTGAAGTCGGGGTGGTGGTGGGACAGAAGGGGAGCTGCAGTGGCAAGAACGTGGGCTGGGCCTGATCCAAACGGCAGGTTTCGTGTGTGTGTGTGTGTGTGTGTGTGTGTGTGTGTCTGTGTCTGTGTATATGTGTCTGTGTGTTTGTTTCCTTCCTTCCTTCCTTCCTTCCTTCCTTCCTTCCTTCCTTCCTTCCTTCCTTCCTTCCTTCCTTCCTTCCCCTTTTCCTTTTC